CTAGAAGGAGATCAGAAGAGGCAAGATGGTAGGCAGCAAAGAGGCTGGGGTCCTATTCCTAGTGAGCAGCAGACGCCCTGGAGACTGCAGGGCAGACAGGAGAGTCAGGGAAGCAAGGCAAAGGGAAGGGGAACTCACATTGATTGAGCATCTAGTGTATCAGACATGGTGCTGGGCACTTTATATATGTCACTTCAGCTACTGCTCAGAACAACTCAGACAGACAGTGATAATCATCATCTCCATTTCACAATTGAAAAAAAACAAAAACAAAAAACTGCCCTCCTTTCTCAAACTTGACATTCCAGCAACAGGGAATTATGTATGGTTCTTGTATGTTCCATACTTTTTCTCACACATACCTGACCCTTACTCCTCTACGTAAGGCCTGGCACCTGCTTGAGGAAACTGTCCTTAAAAGCCCCCACTCCAGTTCCAGGTTGGGACAGGTCCCCTCCTCTGGGGACCAGCCTCTGTCACATCAGTGATCCCCATGTATTATCCCTGTCTATCTCCCCCAGTACACCATGAGCTCCTTGAGGGCAAGGTCCTCTCTGAGGCCCAAGCTCCTAGCACAGGGTCTGGAAGGTATTAGTAAGTGTTGAATGAATAAACTTAAACAGGTTAAGTGACTTGCCCAAGGTCACACAGGTAATAAGGAGCAGAAGATCAATCTGAGGTCTGTCCTACTCCAAAACACCCACCCTTTACCACTCCAATTGCTTTTTGTTGGCCTGTCTAACCCAACATCTCTCTTTCCCCTCAACCCCCACCCCAAGGACTGAGGAAGAGAAGAAAGACTGGGTCCAGGTAACATCCAAGAAGGCTTTGTGGTAGGGGACTGGAAGAATATGAACAGGTCTACTTGGGGTTGGTGGGCTCTCCCCCAAAACTCACATCTTACTAGAACAGGCCTGGACACCTACCTTCAAACAAACTTTACCATCCCCATTTTATAGATAAGCAAACTGAGGTCCAGAGGTTAAGCAGAAACTCACAAATTTTTTTTAGAAAGCTGGTTCCTGACGGTTTAATCCCATTGAGTGAAGCCCTGTGAAACCTTAAGTCCAGTGACCAGGAAGGCCTTCTCAGGTTTTTCAGCCATCACTCTCCCTCCCCCATTTCACAAATGTAAAAACTGAGACCTAGATTTAGGAAGGGACTTGCTCAAGGTCATATGCCAAGCAGAGGCAGAGCTGGGTCTAGAACCCAACTTTTCTAGTCCAGGCCAAGGCATAGGAGGGTGAGGTGAGGGTGGAAATGGGGTGGGTTGTGGAATGATCTGACCTCTCATTTCTTCCACCTCTCCAGGCCATCAACTCTACCCTCCTGAAGCATGAACAGACTCTAGAGACCTTCAAACTATTGAACTCGACAAACAGGGAAGATGAAGACACCCCTCCCAATTCTCCAGTAAGAGTCTCTACCCCCTTCTCCTGCACTGGCGTCCCTTTTCAGGCCTCTTAAGTCCCCACTTTACCCTGAAATGCTCCTCTGCCCTTCCCAGAGAGTAAAGACCAGAGAGGCAATGAATGCATGACTTTAGAAGCGCAGTCTTCTGTTAGTAGGGCCACAGAGAAATCACTGGAGAAACCAAGGCCCAGAGAGTAGAAGTGACTTTTCAGTAGCACAATGAGGTAGGGGCAGGTCTCCTGAATATGTCCCCTGCACCTCATAATGATCCATGCCTTGGGGCAGGGGCAAGGGCTGGCTGGCTGGACGGGGCTGGGGTGTAGTCATCTCTGACCTGGGACCTGGCCCTTCCCCAAGAACGTGGATCTTGGAAAGCGAGCACCTACGCCCATCCGGGAAAAGGAAGTCACCATGTGCATGCGCTGCCAGGAGCCCTTCAATTCCATCACCAAACGCAGACACCACTGCAAGGCCTGTGGGCATGTGAGTGTTGGGAGGCAAGGGCAGAGTTGGGGAGGGGACAGGCTGGCAGTCCAAAGGCCCACTTGTCAGTGGGTACCCTCCAAGTGGGGGTAGGCTGCCAGTCCACTGTGGGAGATGATACACTGAAGGGGAAGGCCCACTGGAATCAGGCTGCTCTTGCCCACCTGCCACCCCAGGTGGTTTGTGGGAAGTGCTCTGAGTTCCGGGCCCGCCTCATCTATGACAACAACCGCTCCAACCGCGTGTGCACCGACTGCTATGTGGCCTTGCATGGGATGCCCGGGAGCAACCCAGCCTGCAGCCAGCATACACCTCAGCGTCGGAGGTCCATCCTGGAGGTAAGAGCCAGGCCCCTAACTAACCCCTCCACCCAACCACATGGGCCCCAGCCACCCACCCAATATGACTGAGGAAGTCTGGGCATCCCAGAACACTTAGGGTACCTGCCATGTACGTCCACTGAACAAGCGACCCAGGGATGGAATGAGTGAAATGAGTGCAAGAGTGAATGACAGTAATTTTTATTTAAGTATATTATATATTTAATCTTCACAATAACTAATCTACCTATGCTATTACTATTCCTGTTTTACACATAACAAAACTGAGGCCCAGGAAGGTTACTTGTCCAAGTTATACAGCCAGTGAGTGGTAGAGATGGAATTTTTTTTAATTAACAAGTTATCTTTTATTATTAGAAAGTAGGATATTAGGATATGTACACTTAAAAAAATTAGACAGTAGAAACAAAAATAATAAAAACATATTTTCACCCAGATTACCAGTTATACTTATTCTTCCTATCTTTCTATTTGTTTGTACATATACACACAAGTACATGGTTTTTTCTAACCAAATAAATTATTTTATTTAACACTCAAAGAGTGTTTACTTTGTGCCAGGCACTATTCTAAGTGCTTTACATATAGTAATTCATTTCATCCTCATCACACCCTCCTTCCAAGTCAATACATTTTCATCTAGAGCTGGGATTCTAAGCCAGACTGCCTTAACCACCCCCCCACCCTCATAACCACAATGCTATACTGCCTTGCATGTAGGGAAGGATGTGTGATGAAAGATGACAAAAAAGGTGAGGTATAAAGGCATGAATGACCCAAGAAATAAGTGGACTGACTGAAGAAAGAATGCCTGGTTAAGCATTTAGATGAGATCTCTACACCCCTTCCACCAGCACAGCAGCCAGGGCTGCAGTCAGGCAGACAAGCCTGGTTTTGAATCCTGACTCTACCTGACTTACTGGGTGACACTGGGCAAATCACTCCTGCCACTTGAGCTTCAGTGTTCTCATCTAAGATGTGGGAATAGCAATCCCTACAGAGGGGGTGCTGAAGCCAAGAGGAACCAGGCTAGGACTCCATCAACACTGATGTCCTCCATGTCTCTGGCCACAGAAACAGGCCTCAGTGGCTGCGGAGAACAGCATTATTTGCAGCTTCCTGCACTACATGGAGAAGGGCGGGAAAGGCTGGCACAAGGCATGGTTCGTGGTTCCTGAGAATGAACCCTTGGTGCTGTACATCTATGGAGCCCCTCAGGTGTGCATTCTACTCCTTCAGGTCCTTTCAGCCACCTGGCAAAGCCAGGCTGTCTCCCTTCCCCTGCAGTCCTTCACCTCTCCTTGGCCTTGGGGATTAGGGTGAGCCTAACCCTACATAAAGGGAATTCAGAACCTCCACCCTTATAAGACAAAGACTAGCTAGGGATAAGGAGTGATCGTGGGCCAGGGTACTTAGGGAAAACTGGGGTGAGCTGGGAGGGCTGGCTTCCTAGAGGAAACAGGAGTGGAGAAACGGTGCTGCTAGGTCCAATTTGGAGTGGGGAAGAACATGCAGATGGGGCAATAGCCTACACAAAGGCCTGAAAACGTTATCTGGTATATGCTAAAGAGACTAGCCCAGCTAGTTTTTGGGGTGGGAGGAAATGGGTTATTTGAACCAGCCTGCATTCTAGATCCACTTCACACATTTTCCTGTTGATAACAGTGGAGCCACGGCAGGTTCTTGATCAGGGGAAGGAAAAGAGGGGAGCAAATGCTAAACCAGTTAGGAGCTATAGCAGAGGGGAAGACCCAGCCCCAAGGTGACCCCAGCTGTCCCTGCTCCCCAGGATGTGAAAGCCCAGCGCAGCCTGCCCCTCATTGGCTTTGAGGTGGGGCCTCCTGAAGCAGGGGAGCGGCCTGACAGACGGCATGTCTTCAAGATCACTCAGAGCCACCTGAGCTGGTACTTCAGCCCTGAGACAGAGGAGCTACAGCAGCGCTGGATGGCTGTGCTTGGCCGGGCAGGCCGCGGGGACACGTTCTGCCCAGGGCCTACACTGTCTGAGGACAGGGAAATGGAGGAGGCACCGGTGGCAGCTTCAGGAGCCACTGCTGAACCCCCTGAAGCTCCCCAGACCCGAGATAAGACCTAGAGGGTTTGGGGGTTACTGGGAGCCCCCTGTCCCACACTCTAGTTGCCCATATCCAATTAGGGGCTTCAGCCCCCTCCCTCCCAGCTCAGTCAATACTTGAACTCCCATCATGGGCACTTTCAATCCCGAATGCTGGGTCTTGGATTTTTTAATTCATCTTTTCACAAAACTTGGACTTAAAAAAAAACACATGCACACAAAAACCCAAAAAAACTACTCCTATAGTGATGTTCCTTTTTTTTAATCCTCCCCTACCAGAGAGGGTGGGAACTGTTGCTAGGTCAGCCTGAATTAGGCCATTATGTGTCCCCGCCCCCCCACAACATCCTACAGATCCTGCTTCCACCAGCTCCCCGCAAAGCACCAGAGGCAGGAGACATGGATTCAAGTGCCAGCTCTGCCACTGACCCGTGGCCAGTGTCTTCACATGTACGATTCAATGTGGGGTGGTGACTGGACCCCTCCCATGCCTCTCCCATGGCTTACAGCTTCTACCCAGCCCCAAGGCTACCCAGTATTTTATCGTCCAGACCCATGGCAGGGCCACTGGGCAGGACAGGGGAATGGAGGGTGGGGTGGGGAGGACAATGGATACTCTGTTTTGTTTTTAAAGAAAAATACAGTTTATTTCAGGCTTACAGAAACTTTCAGAGCACTTCTATGTTCCTTTTGTCCATCTATTTGTTCGTCCAAAGCCTGGCTGCTGTGGTGGGCCCAGAAACTGCTCCCTTGCTGAGCTCTGAAGCTCAGCCTCCAGAAGGCTGATTCCAAGGCTACTCACAGGTCAAATCATAAATTAAACAATAAGGTATTTATTGAGTTCTTAAGCCTCATCCTAAACTTAAATGGGATGGGATGAAGAGTGGGGGGAGGGGTTGGAGGAGATAGAAAACAAAGCCCAGCTCTCCACCTCACCAAGGTCTTAGAATTCCTGAGGGAATCCAGGGCTGGAGGCTGGGCTGCAGAAACGGAGTGTTCCTGGGAGGTTCCAAGTTCCGGGCTGGGCATACCACAACTATTCTCTCTTCCATTTGCATGTTCATCTCACCATTCCTGACTCAGCCAGTCCCCTAGCACTGAGTATTGGTTCTCCTGCTGGTCCTCTCCCTTCACAAATCCACCTGCCCAGTCAACCAGTGTCTAGCTGCTCCTCCACCCACACTCAAATTCACTCATCTCTCTTCCACACTGACTGCACCCAACAGGCACTATGCTGAGAAACCTGACCTCGTCACTTAGGTAGCAACTTAATGTCCAGGGGAGTACAGTGGATCAGGTCCCACCACCCCCACAACCAAGAACCCTAGGGCACTTCTTCCTGTGGAGGGAACCGGGCAGGGGAGTGGGGGGGAGGGTAGCATGAGGCAACCAGTCAAGAAGTCCACAACCCTCCAAAAAGCCCCTTAAAACAAGTTTTGAAACAACTAGCAAACAAGGACCGAAACCATTTCCAGCCCCACTCATTTCTTTCTCCGGACAATGGTCCAGCCATCCTCCACTATATCCTCTTCTTCAATAGTCTGGGAGTCTGGGCCAGAGGGTTCAGGCTCGGGGCAGACCCCATCTGTAGCTGCCCCATCATTCGTAGCTGTGACCTGGAGGAGAAATACAAGACAGAGCTAAATATGACACCTCCCAGCCCATGGCCATTGGAGACCCAGGCTCTGCTGCCAGCTTTGCTAGGTTTGACTGTATGACCATAGGAAAGTACCCTACCTTCTCTGGATAATACCACCACCACCATCAACCCCCTCATCACTTCCCTGTGAAACCAGCTGATCTCCCAGAAAATTGAAAACACTTGCATTCTGCCCAAGGGACACCCCGTCACCTCCATCTCCTCCGTGCTGTCTGCATCCTCCTCCTCATCATCAGTTTCTCTGGCTGTCATAAGTGCAGTGGCTGTGACCCTGCACTTTCTTTGGGTGATGTGGGAGGCCATCTCCCTCAGAGCAGCCCCATCACCCCTCCGGAAGTGGTGGAACATGGTCTGTAGCTGCTGGCTCACCTACCAAGAAAACACTCAACCAGCTTGGATTTTCCAGAGAATCTACTATACAACCAGCTCATGTTTACAGCAAGAGGAGGCAGGGTGTCAGGATTTTCCAGAAGAGAACAGGGCTCTTTCATCCTCAAGGAGTTCATCAATGAAGCAACCACATATGAAGGGCTAAGGTGAAGGCCCACTAGAACTGGGCTTTTTGAAAGACAGAAAATATAAAAAGGAAGGTAATCCCTGAGGGGGAGTGGAGGAGGGATGGGAAACAGAACGGGGGTGGAAATATACCTGGCCTGACCTGCCCTTGGGATGGGGGAGAGGAAAAGGTCTAGCTGGGAATGATTATTGAGAGAAATAAGGGAGAAGAGGCAGGGTTTGGAAAGGCCTGGGAAGATCTCTTTTTCCTGTAGGCAACAGGGAGTCATAGAAGGTTCTTGTGCAGGACTCAAAAATAAGAATGGTTACAGCCAGGAGTCTTGGCCCAAGACAGACAGTTAGGGACAGAAAAGGCTGCAGGCAAGGAGATGGCAGTTGTGTCCACAATAAGCTCACCTGGGGCAGACTCCCATCCTCCACAACTGTATCAAACTCGTTGGTCATGAGCTCCCCGAGGAAGTCCTCCACCTCATCTAGCTCCAGGTCAGCTGAGTAGGAAAGGATAGGGCCCTTTGGTCAAAGACCAGCCAACCTTACCACCCTGTCCACTACTTCTCAATACTTACTTGGTGGCTCCACATCTGGTTGGTAGGTAAAGGCCCAAATAGTGAGCCTTTTATTCACTGAGGTGCTCTGCATTCTAGATCTTAACATGATTTTAAAAAAAAAAAAAAAAAAAAACAACTAAATATTAATTCTTAATTTCCTATATCTTGCATCTTACGAAGCCCTCTGTTACCACAGCTCCCAGCCTCCAGCCCCATGTTCATCCTCATTCACTGAGCCTATTTTATCCGGTATCCCTCCTATGTGACCATGAGAAGTTACTCCTTTCTGAGCCTCAGTTTTATCATCTGTAAAATGGGGCTAATAGTGGCCTCCTTGAAGGTCTGTTAGGAGGTATCATCCAAAACAATGCCTGGCACAGGATCCATAATCCATGTTAATTTCCATCACTCAAGGACTGAAGTTTTTGAAGAGTAGAGACCCTTCACAACGTGGCGCCACTGATACAGGAGGCCACCGACCAGTGGGGTAGGTAAGAAGAAATGGGTGTAAGTACTTGCAATGATGATTAAATTGTCATAGCCTTGACATCAAAATCCTACTGTGTGACCTTGGCCAAGTCCTCCTCTGTGGGCTTCAGTTTTGTTACAGGTCCAAACCCCCTGCTTTTTCTGAATCAGAGAAGAACTCAAGAAAGTCTTCCTCAAAGCTCCTCATCCTCTCTTCACTCTACATGCTCTCCCTGGGGGAGTTTATTCACCCCCTTGCCGTTCCCTACCATCCTATCCTGTTGTACGTTGCCATCATGTCAATTCCAACTCATGGCAACCTCGTGTGTGCAGAGTAGAGCAGCTCCATAGGGTTTTCAAGGTTCTTAGAAGCAGATGGCCAGGCCTGTCTTCTGAGGCACCTCTGGGTGGGTTCAAACTGCCAACCTTTTGGCTAGTAGTCAAGTGTTTGTAACTGTCTGCACTACCCAAGGACTCTACCACTCTATCCAAATATCCCCCCAATATATTTCCAACTCAGACTACCTTCTCTGCCTAGATGTTTCACAGGTACCTTAGACTCTCCATATCCAAAGCCAGACCCATCACTTATTCTCCAAAACCTGTTTCTCATCCTCCAGAGTTCCTCTATCCCATGTTGTTGTTAGTTGCCATCAAGTCGATTCTGACTCATGGTGATCCCATGAGTTACAGAGTAGAACTGCTCCACAGGGTGGTTTTTTTTTTTTGGCTGTAATTTTAATGGAAGCAGATTGCCAGGCCGTTTCTTCCATGGTACCGCTGGACAGGTTCTAACCATTAACCTTTAAGTTAGCAGTTGAGCATAAACCGTTTGAGCCACCTAGGGACCTTTCTCTACTCCATGAAAGGCACCTAATCCCCCCAGTGAGTCAAACCAGAAACCTGCCTTCTTTTCCCTCCCCCTCCTCAGCCAAGCAATCTCCAAGACCCTAATGCATTCCTTCTTTTCCATGACCATTGCCACTGCCCTAGTTTAAACCCATTGCCGTTGAGTTGATTCCAACTCATAGTGACCCTGTAGGACAGGGTAGTTTTAGGCCTCATCATATTCTAAACAGAAACAGCCTTCTCGTCAGTCTTTTCCCCTCTAGTCCATGCTCCATACTGATTATTTTGTGATCTTTCTAGCCAGCAAATCCTACCCTATTACTCACCTTAGAACCTGCCCATGAATTTTTAACCCCTACTTCAGTGTTTCATAGTCTGCCTTTGAGAAATATCTGTTGTGCTGGGGGTTGCTATGAGTCAGAATCAACTCGACAGCAATAGGTTTGGTTTGGGTTTTGGTCCAGCCAAGTGCTTAACCACTGCACCACCAGGGTTCCTTTTGGTCTATAAAAAGCTAACAGGAAACACAGGTAAACAAGTGTCTTTTTAATGGCTATTGGCTGCTAACTGAAAGGTCGGCAGTTCGAACTCACCAGCTGCTCTTCAGGAGAAAGATGTCTACTTCCATAAAGATTACAGCCTTAGAAACCCTATTGGGCACTTCTACTCTGCCCTATAGAGTTGCTACGAGTCGGAATCAACTCGATGGCAACGAGCTTGGTTTTGTTTTTTGGTATTCTCATTCAAGGAGTCCCTGGCTCATGCAATTGGTTAAGCGCTTCATCTACTAACCAAAAGGTTGCCAGTTTGAACTCACCCAGAGGCGCCTTGTAAGATAGGCCTGGCGATCTGCTTCCAAAAGGTCACAGCCTTGAAAATCCTATGCAGTGCAGTTCTACTCTGCACACATGGGCCGCCATGGGTCAGAATCCACTCACCGGCAACTGGTTATCCTTATCCAAGGAATCCCTGAGTGGTGCAAACAGTTAATGTGCTCTGCTGCTAACCAAAAAGTTGCAGGTTTGAGTCCACCAGAGGTGCCTTGGAAGAGTCTTGGAGATCTACTCATGAAAAATCAGCCATTAAAAACCCTATGGAGCACCGTTGGGGTCTCCATGAGTCACGATTAACTTGATGGCAATTGGTTATCCTTATCCAAGCCTTTAATATGCTAATGAATGTTGATACTCTTAAGTGGGAGCAAAAGAAATGAGCTTTTCTTATGTAATTTAACTAGAGAAGCTTTTTCTTCACTGAACATCTAACAGGACTAATTTTCCACAGCATGCATTTTAGCAAACACTGGCCTAAAAGAAAAAATTAAAGGGATGCAAGGCCTTCTATGTTTTAGTCTTTTTCGGGGTGGCGCAGTGGCTGAGCACCAGCCACTAACCAGAAGGCTGGCTGTTCAAATCCACCAGCAGAGAAAGATTTACAGCTTTGGAAACCCTATGGGGCAGTTCTACTCTGTCCTGTAGGATCACTATGAGTCAGAATTGACTCCACTGCAACGAGTTTGGCTTTTCGGTTTTTTCCCTAACCCCTAGCTTCATTCTCTACCGCTCACCACCCCCACACCCTTACTCCAATACTGAGGTCCCTACCACTTTCCAAATATCACACACCAACCTCTTCATACCACAGAACTTATGCGAGTGTCGCTCTCTGCCTCCCCCACCTAGTTAACGCCTTCTCATCAAGCCCAATCACCGACTCCCCTGAAAAGCGTCCTCCCTAGTTTCACATTACCCCCGGCACCCTGAGCTTCTCTTTATCAGAACACCTATCACTCTGTGTTGTCTGGCTCCTTTACTAGGTGGTAAACTTTCTTGAGAGAAACGACTTTGCCTAATGTCACCTCCAAGGCTAGAGAATGAAAAATTTTGTAAAACTCATACTATGCAACAGGTCCTGTGCTGGGCCCCTTAAGACAAGCCTGAGGTGTGGATCTTCCCTGTCCCATAGAGCTGGGTTCCTCTTCTCCACGCCACCACAAAGACGAATTGGAGCGCCTCACATTCACTCACCGTTGCGGATGAAATACTCCTCCACTGCACCCCCCAGCCACTCGGCCTTCTCTTGGCTGTGCACGCCCCCGAAGCCATTCTCCACAGCGATCTGCAAACACAGGCCCAAGTCCACCATGTCAGCGTGGGAGCCGGCCTGCGGTGAGGTGGGGATTCGCTGCTTATGCTGCCCAGTCAAGCCTCGCTCGGACAACTCCTGTTCTTCTCCAGCTCCTGGCCTCGGCCCCACTCACCTGTAAAGCCGGCCAGGCCTCCAACGCTGCGCGGACGCCAGCTCCAAAGAGCGCCAACGAATCCTCACCAACGCCCGCCATCACACCGTCGCGAATCACGTGACGCGCAAGCCGCCCAATCCCTCCGCAGCATGGTCCAGCAAACCGAGCCAGAGGCCGATCTGAGAATAGGTGCACTTTTCGCTGACCTGGCAGCAAGGCTAGAGCAATAGAAAAGTCTATCGGAGCGATCGATGGCAACACCACAAGCCAAAACAAACAAACAAAAACCAAACTCCCTGCCCTCGGTGGAACTGCAACTCATAATGACCCTATAGGACAGTGTAGAACTGCCCCATTTTTACAGGAGTGAATTGCCACATCTTTCTCCCGGAGAGGGGCTGGTGGGTTCCATCCGCAGACGCTGAGCACTTAACCATTGCAACACCAGAGCTCCTTGGCAACACCAGTCACTTGTAACATGAACGCCAGAAGTGGAGGACGCTTGGGGTCACTGGGTTCCGGATCCTAGGTTCTGGGCTATGGGTACTGTACAGGAAAGATATGGGGGAACTTATTAAACATACAGATTTCTGGCCCTTGGGGTGGAGGAATCAACCTTAGGGAGCCAAGCATAAAGAATCTGCATTTAAAAAAGCATCCTGACAGCTATAGAGAAGAGCCCTGGGGGCGCAGTAGTTAAAGCACGCCACTGCTAACCGAAAGGTCTGCAGTTTGAACCCACCAGCTCCACAGGAGAAAGATGTGGTAGTCTGCTTCCTAAGGATTTCAGCCTTGGAAACCCTATGGGGCAGTTCTACTCTGTGCTATAGGGTCGCTATGAGTTGGAATCGACTCCAAAGGCATTGGGTTTTTTGGTTTAACATCTATAGAACACTGCACCCAGAAACAGCAGAACACACATTCTTCTGAAATGCACATGAAACATTCTTCAGGATAGACCATATGCTAGTCCATAAATTTACAAAGATTGAAATCATACAAAGTATGTTCTCTGATCAGGATGGAGTGAAATTAGAAATCAATAACAGAAAGAAATTTGGGAAATGCACAACTATGTGGAAATTTACACACTCCTAAATAACCAGTGGGTCTAAGACAAAAACGGGAAATTAAAAAATATGAGGGATTGCAACTAATGTCACATAACAATCTGTGTATACATTTTTGTATGAGAAATTAACTTGAGATGTAAACTTACACTTAAAGCACAATAAAAAAGAAAAAAATATGTTGGGATGAATGAAAACAAAAGCACAACATACCAAAATTTGTAGGATGTACATCAGTGTTCATTGCAGGACTATTCACAGTAGCCAAAAGTTGGAAACAACCTAAATGTCCATCAACAGATGAACGGATAAACAAAATGTGGTACGTACATACAATGGAGTATTACTCAGCCATAAAGAGAAATGAAGTCCTGATTCATGCTACAACATGGATGAAAACATGTTGAGTGAATTTTTACAACAATAAAAAAAAGATTTAAAAAAATGTTGCATGAAATAAGTCAGTCACAAAACGGACAAATATTGTATGAACCCACTTATTAGTGTTACCAGGCGTGGGAGGAAAGGAGGAAGGTGCAATCTTAGCTTAGTTTCACTGAGTTTACTTAGAAACACTAATTTCTAGTTTCACTTAGAAACACTGAGTTTCTATTCATGGTAGTGGAATGATGTGGAAATGGATAGTAGCTATGGTTGCACAACATGATGAATGTAACCAACGTCATTAAATTGTACATTAAAAATGTTAAATTGGCAAATGTTTTGTTATATATATGTACATATATACACGTATATATTTTTTACCACAATAAGACAATTTTTAAAAACGGGAAGAAAAAAAAAACACTTATAGGATACAGCTAAAGCAATGCTTCAAGGGAAATTTATAGCTGTAAATGCTTATATTAAATAGGAAGACAGATCGAAAATCAATAACCTAACTTTCCACCTTAGAAAACAAGAACAATAAGAGCAAAGTAATTCTAAAGCAAGCAGAAGGAAGGAAATGATAAAGATCAGAGCAGAAATAAAATGAAATAGAGAATAGAAAAATAATAGAGAAAAATCAATAAAACCAAAAGCTGGCTCTTTGAAAAGATCAACAGAATTGACAAACCCTTAGCTAGACTATGAAAAAAAGAGAGAGAGAGAGAAGACCCAAATTACCAAAACCATGAATAAAAGCAGAAACATCACTACTGACCACAAAGAAACAAAATGGATTATAAGGGAATACTATAAACACCTGAATACCCCCAAATTAGATAACTTAGATGAAATGGAAAAATTCATAGAAACACACAAATTATGAAAACTGGCTCAAGAAGAAATGGAAAGGGAGATGGAGAAACCTGAAAATGGATAGTGGTGATGGCTACACATGATGAACGTAATTAATGTCACTGAATTGTACATTAAAAAAGTTGAAATGGCAAATGTTTTGTTATATATATACTTACCACAATAAAAAAATCAACAGAAAAAAAAAGTGGAAGCCTGAATAGACCTATAACAAGTAAAGACATTGATTTAATAATTTTAAAACTTCCCGCAAAGAAAAGCCCAGGCCCAGATGGCTTTCCTGGTGAGTTCTACTAGACATTTAAAGAGGAATTAACACTTATCCTTCACAAATGCTTCCAGAAAACAGAAAAGGAGAGAACATTTCCCAACTCATTCTATGCGACCAATTTTACCCTGATACTAAAACCAGACAAAGACATCACAGGAAGAAAAAAACAAAAAACTAAACACCAATATCCCTTGTGAATATAGATGTAAAAATCCTCAACAAAATAGAAAATGGAGTCCTGCAACACATAAAAATGACTAAACGTCATGACCAAGTGGACTTTATCCCAGGAATGTAAGGTTGGTTGAAAATATGAAAATCAATTAATGTAATACACTTATATCAATAGAATAAGAAACAAAAATTACATGACCTTAATAGACACAGAAACAATGTTTTACAAAAAGCTAACACTGTTTCATGATAAAGACACTCAATAACTAGGAAGAGAAAGAAACTTCTTCAACCTTATAAAGGGTATCTATGAAAATCTCACAGCTAACATACTAAATGATGAAAGAATATATGCTTTCCCCCTGAGATCAGGAACAAAATAAGGATGTCCAATCTTGCCACTTCTATTCAACATTGTATTGGAGTTTCTAGCCAGGGCAATTAGGCAAGAAAAAGAAATAAAAGGCACCCAGACTGGAAAGGAAGAAGTAAAACTACATTTGCAATGACATCATCTCATATGCAGAAAATACTAAGGAATCCACAAAAAATACTGTTAGGACAAATAAACAATTTCAGCAAGGTTGCAAAGATCAATATAAGAAAATCAGTTATATTCATATACACTAGCAATGAACAACCTGAAAATGAAATTGAGAATTGCATTTACAATAACATGAAGGAGAATAAAATACTTAGGAATGAATTTAACCAAGTGTAAAGACAGCATGGGGGCAGTGTCTGACCTCCTCTAACTTCACAAGGGGGAAAGAGAATCAAGATCAACGGCCCAAGGCTGATTCCTATGAGGCAGAGGTCAGACATGCCTCCTCTCTCCACAGTCCTTACCAATTCTGACACCAACTGTCCCTCCCACTGCACTCTCTACCTCTCTGCTGGGTTCGATAATTCATTGCAATGGCCACACAGAACTCACAGACAATACGATTATGGGGTTTATTAGGGAAGTAACAGGTTACAATTCAGGTTCAGGAACGCTCAAGATACAGTTCTTCCATCAGGACAGCCTCTTCCCAGCCGTGCTTGCAGGCACACCTCTTCCTGGCCCTCTCCCTCTGCCCAAAGGCACTCAGCTTTCTCACTCCATGGGCCAGGAAGCCCACCTCACAGTCTCTCCTGCTGGTCTCTCCTGCCACCACTTCTCTGCCATCATTTCTTGCCATCTTCAGGGTTACAGCTCACTCTCTGTCTCCAGGGTCCAGGAGCTTCTTAGCGCAGGGATCCCGGGTCCAAAGGATGAGCTCTCTACTCCTGGCTATTCGGTGGAATCCTCCCTTTTCCCACCTCTGGGATGGCTCATTTCAAGCCCAGTGGAAAGGCAAAAATGACCAATCCCTTTGGTGGGCCACAATTACCCTATCACATAGTCCCACCCAATCACTTGGGTGGGAGTAACAAGACCATGGCTAGAAAGGCCATGCAAAAGTGATCCACTGCACTGCACCAAGGAAGTGCAAAATCTGTACAATGAAAACTGCAAAACATTGTTGAAAGATATTAAAGACCTAAGTAAATGAAAAGCCATCCCATGTTCATGGAATGGAAAATTCAATATTGTTAAGATGGTGATAATCCTCAAATCGATCTACAGATTTAAATGCACCTCCTAATAAAATTCCAGTGGCCTTTTTTTTGGCAGAAAATGGACAAGTTAATCCTAAAATAAGGAACCCTGGTGGTGCAGTGCTCGGCTGTTAACTGAAAGGTTGGTGTTTGAGCCCACCAGCTACTCTGTGGGAGAAAGATGTGGCAGTCTGTTTCCATAAGCCCTATGGGGCACTTCTACTCTGTCCTATAGGGTTGCTATGTATTCATCTGAAAATGAAGAAGACCCCAAAAAGCCAAAACAATTCGGAAAAAGAAGAGCGAAGTTGGAGGAATCACACTTCTCAATTTCAAAACTTACTACAAAGCTGCAGTAATCAAAACAGTGTGGTACTGGCATAAGGATAGACATGTAGATCAATGGAATGGAATTGAGAGTCTAGAAATAAATCCATACATCTATAGTCAACTGCTTTTTGACAA